TGCCCTTTCGGTTGACTCGAAGCCAACTGATTGGTAACATTAGTCACATCAGAAAAATTCCCTTTGCCATGTCACATGGCCAGGGCATGACAGTTCGTCATAGTCACTCTCCTCCAGATTCGGGTGGGAAGTCGCGAGGGTCCATTTTAGGATTCTGCCTCCTATGCCTGGTGTCTCTTCCCAGAGCTCCTAACCAAGCAATTCAGTCTTTTATGGTGGAGCATGACTGAGGTCGGGGCAAGAGGCCAAGAGTTTTACAACGAAGGATGTCACTCCACATAGGAACCGGGAATGTCACTCGACACAGAAACCAGAAGCCTGGGAAGAGTTGACTCCATTACTTCCCTCTTACCCACCCCACCCTCAGTATATTCAAATAGCTATAACATAAAGTAAAATATAGTTCAAGGTCGCCCAGAGGACATGGAGACCACGAGGAAGCGTGTATTTGGTCCTTGAGGGAAAATTTCACCTGAGGCCCAGGGATCCGACCCGATTCCAAGACGGGAATGGAGGGTAGCCCTTAATCCTGAAGGCATGTGCAGAAGAACTTGCTCTGAAGTTGGGGTGCATAGAGGATGCATTCCGTGACCGAGTATGCAGAGCGGTGGTATGGGAGATTAATCTGGAAATACTATATGAAAGTAATAGAAGCCCCTTTGTGGGAGATCTTTGCAGGAGAGCTGGTGAGAGGTCATGAGAACTCGAACCAGAATGATAGCAATAGGGGTAGGAAACGGGGGATAAAATGTCATGAAGAAGCTAAAAAGAGGACATGGCAGCAGATTGGATGGGGTCAAAGGTAAACCCATGGATCCAACTCTGGAAACCGGGAGGATGATGGTGTAATTGGGTAAAACGAGAAGAGGTGGGTTGGCGTGGGAGCTGATGAGTTTGATCTTCAGTAAAATGCACAAGACAGATGTCTTCCATCTTCAACACACATATGCACACGCACACATCTCAACTTCGGGCTTTCCCTTTCCCTGCCAACCCCCTCTTGTCCTTCCCTCCTTGAGATGGCAAGGAAGGTCATCTCCCCCCTCCCTCCTCCTCCCCCACCCCCCCCTCCATCCGTTCACTGCCCCATCCTCTGCTCCCCTGAATGTCTTCTAGCAAAGGCTATCATGGATCTTCTAGAGACAAGTCCAATGTAACTGTTTCAGTCCTCATCCTCATGGCCCTTCCTTGGCCTTGGCCTTTGAGACATGCCTTTCCTCTCAAAACTCCTATCTTCTGGGGCGCCTGGGTGGCTCAGTCGGTTAAGCATCCGGCTTCAGCTCAGGTCATGATCTCACGGTTCGTGGGTTCGAGCCCTGTGTAGGGCTCTGTGCTGACAGCTCAGAGTCTGGAGCCTGCTTCAGATTCTGTGTCTTCCTCTCTCTCTGACCCTCCCCTGCTCACGCTGCCTCTCTCTCTCTCTCTCAGAAGTAAATAAAACATTTAAAAAAAATCTTTAAAAAAAACAACTCCTATCTTCTTTTGTTTTTTAAAGACCCTATTCTCTTTCTCTTCTTAGCTCAATCTCCTTGGTTGCTCCATCTTTTTCTAATCAACCCCTTAGGTGTCGACAATCTCAGACTTTGTCAGCGCTCCCTTCTCCCTAATGTGAAACCCCCACAGATCTGGGAAGGCTCTGGACTCACTATTTTTACCCTAGACCTCTGCCCTCAACTCCTGTTTTCTCCACGAGCACGTACAGCTCTGTACATCCAACGCCAGACCCTCATGTCGACCTCCAAACCCTTCCTCTTCTGGTCTGCCCTACTACCAGTAATAGCACCTGGGCCAGAAGCAGGAGAGGCTCCTCTCCCCTCCCCTCTGCTGCCACCTCTTCTATCTCCGTGGTTCTCACCTTACTGCAGATGTTCACAATTCCTTATCTGACAACTGCAGTCGTTCCCGTGCTCCTCATCTCCTCCCCCTCCTCCTCACCTAACCACCTCTGCCAGACTCACTTTCCTCAAACAGGGGTGAATCATGCTGTTCCCCAGACTTCAAGGCTCTGATAGAACCCATCGGCCTCATGTTGAAGTGCAAATTTCTGCAGGTTTATAAGCTGCCTACGATCTGTGTTCATGTCTGCCAGCACTGCGTCATCTGTGAGTGCCCTCATCCCAAACCTACTCTCCAGGGATACTAGAAGTGACATGTGGATCGGTTTCGGAAATTCACATCTTTCCCAGGTTGCTCCTTCTGCCAGGAGTGCCTTCTCCCCTGTCCCCTCCCACCTTACTGAGACCTTCCTCCAGCCCTGCGAACCACCTGGTAAAAATTGACCCAACCTCCAAGGGCCAAATCAAGTACCGCCTCCACTAGGTGGTATGCCCCGTCTTTTTCCCGTGTCTCCTCCCGCCATCTTCCTGGAGCTGAGACACTCCATGACACTCAGCAGTGGCCATGACCCTCTGTTGTTCTCATCTATTTGTCCTTTGTTGCCAACTAGCCTAGCACCCTGCCTGGAACATAGAAAGCTTCGGAGATGTGCTGAAGGAAGGAAACCAAACACTTCATACCTGGGAAAGTCCTCAAGAGGCCATTTTGAATGAGTGACGGCAGGAAAGGACTAAAAATCCATTTAACATTTATTAGGAATTTAAAAGCTAACTGGACCCTGACCTGCTCCTCAAAGGCTAAAGATGACCAGAAATAACTTCAGGCTGTGACCCCTAAGTATTCGAGATTTGCAATGTAAAGAATTTCGGGGACGGGTTCTAATGGAGACAGTGAGACTAGAGAGGGTAAATTGCAAGATGAGCTCAGAGTTTAATTTTTCAGAGCTCTACAAAAAGTACCCATACAAATACAGAGTCGTGACCAAAAAGAAACATAGCTCATCGTGCACTCGGACCCATATGCGGACATGCATGAGTGCGTGTGTGTGCACGTGGGTGTGTACATAGAGTGGAGTGACTTTGTCAAGTTTCCTAAACTCTCCAAGTGTAAGGTTCCCTGTCGGCAAAATGGGGTTGGCAATGGTGTCCTGGCAAGGATTAAATGAAGCAAGGTATAGAAAAACATTTTGGCCATTCTCTGGCACTTAGTAGTATTCAATGAGAGGGAGGGAGAGAGAGAGAAAGGGATGGAAAGAGAGAGCTGGTGGATAAGTTGGCCAAATTGAGCTCTTGCTGCTGTGAACCCCCAAGATCTCTGCTGTCTTGCAATTTAGGTTGTAGCACATTTAACAACCCTCTGGGCAAATGACTGCAAACCTTCACAGGCGCTACCTCTCCCGCAGAGGACCCACCCTCTCCGGGCTTCATGGCGTCTGCTGTGTCCTCAAGGCTACTGACACAGGACAAACTAAGGACCCTTCCCAACAGACAACATGCACACCGTCCAAAATTCACTCACTTTTGCCTTTGTTTTTAGGTTAAAAAAGATCTTGGGTTTTCTCCCAGAATCCTTGAAATATTAGCTGTGTCAATGGAACACTTGGTTTTCTACTTTGCTCCCTCTCTTTCCCAGCCTCTGATCTGGGAGAGCTTCTCAGGGTCTCAGGACAGAATTCCCAGGGCGGTAGGGTCTGCTGGGTCTCTTTCATTAAAATTCTGCTGTCTGGTCAGTATTACTGTTGTGGATCCCCCCATGCATATTAAAAGCAAACTTATGAACTTCAGGGTATATTTGATATTTCTTACCTTATCATTCATAAGTGCAAATGATTTTTTCCCTGCTCCATTTAAGAAAAAAAAATCTTCACAGGGTCATTTTATATACATGCAAACCAAAGTCTTAGTGGTTTGTTTTTTGAGGATGCTCCATGGAAACTATACCTATTGAATGGCTTTAATCTTTCATTATAGGGTAATCCTTCAGAACCTCTTATTATTCTAGTTGCTCTTTTTGCTTTGGCAAGAAAAAAATATAAGACTAAGGAGCTGTAAATCTCATTCTCCTGCCTATTTAAACAGCGTCTAGAAATCTGAAATAATTACCTCCTTTCTTAGTTTTAAAGTTTTTTAAAAGATATATTATATTAGTATTGTGGAATAAAGTTGAAAGCTTTTGGTCTGTGACATTTGAAATGCTCAAATCCGAAGGCTCTGAAAGCTGATATACCCTCCATGTTAATCATTCAGTGCTGAGCTGATGTAGCAATGTCAAAAGCAGAACGCTACTATAGATATTTAAAGAGAAGCAGCTTCAGATGGCTTTGCTTAATAGGTTTACCTATAACTAGACATGCAACAGTATATAGAGATACATATTTGGATATTATCATATGACAGTTCTTTTCAGTAATAATTGATATCATCTGCTATGTCAAGAATGAAAGGTTTCAGGATAAATAATCTGTAGGATAAATCAGGATAAATTAGTAAAGGGAAGGAGAGTAAAGCAAGCAAGGAGAAATATTTCTTCACTGTCCAATTGCAAGTAAATTATGATAACGTTTCTCAGTTTGTTTCTTACAGAAGATGTATTCAAAACTGTTTCTCTTCATTGCTTTCAAAAAATACTCATATTTTTACCTCTTGCATGTCACCTCTGCTATAATACCAATTTTCAAGTGTTTGGGTATTAAGTTAGGGTTTGGTTTTAATTTCACCTTGAATTCTGATTCATGTCTGCTTCCTCCAAATGTATTTCCAATGTTCATAAATAAATCACATTGGCATCACATACAGAGGTTTAACAAAGGTGATTCTATGAAAGATAAAGAGTCGGTACTAGCTATCAATGGAAAACGGTGAAGTCACATAAAATCATGTGCATATGTAACAGTTCATTTTTTTATTCGCTGGTTTACTATTTCAAGCTACTTTTGTTCCCAAACCGGACAATATGCTATAAAATTCCCCAGTGCTAAAAAGTGTGAGGGACAGTCAGTGAGCAAAGAGAGACAGAGAGAGAGAGAGAAGGGGGGATGGAAATTTAGTTTTAATGCTTGCCTTTATTGCAATTAGAATGAAATGTATCAACTATCAGTGAATTTGGTGTTTGCTGTCAGTACATTTATACAATTGTTTTTATTTTCCTACTTTCTGTTCTTTCAGAATGTGTACACGGAATGAATCCATCTAGAGATGTTCACGGTATGTTGGACTCCAAATTATATTTATCATAAAATATGCACATTCATATGATTTTTGTCTATGTATCTCTGTAAATAACTTATGACATAAATTAGCCAAATAATTCAGTTTTTTTTTTCTTTTTGCTGATTCACAAATACTTAAAAGCTGTTCTTCATATTGTAAATATCAAACCCTATAAAACATCCCAATGAAACCGTAATGATACCCTCGGTCCTACAGCCTAGTTTACCACAGGTGTGTTCTGCTTTTATTAAATGACTTTGTAGGACTCTGAAAAAAAAAATAGAGCTTGGCTTCTATCTGTTGTAACCTAGTTTATTGCCTTTGTTACAGCAGTGGCAATGCAAAACTTTTATGAGGGTAAAATGTTTACTAAGCATCCTAAATTAGAAAAAAAAAGTAATGTAAAAATTTTCTCAGTTCGCCACCTATGAGCTGCAGAATTATGATATTAGAGTGAATAGATCACACATCAACCACAGAATTCTATGGAAACATCCCTATGAAGGAAGGATGTAGTGACAGAAGGAAAGAATCCTATTCCCAAAGCAACTAGATTTCAAAAGTAAAATAATCTCAAAGCCGCTCTAGCCGGAAGGGGGAAATGTTTAATTAAATTTTAATGTTGAAAACTGGATGCCGTGTATGGCAGGTTATTTATTTGCATGTACATTAACATGTTACTCTTCATAAAAATGTTCTCCATCCTGGTAACATTATGCTAACTGCACCAGTTTGGTCCAGAACCAAAACACATTCCCTGATTTTAATTCACTGAGATAATTTTTTTTCTAAAAATAATTACACTTTTAGAAATGTAATTTTAACAATATGTTACTCACAGAGAGGAATTTTGATTTAAGAGAATGCTTAAGATTCTACCTACCTACCTACAGGCATATTTTATTTTTGAGAGGGTTTTAAGACAGCAAAAATGTAAAACATTTAGGTATTTTTTTGAGGCTCCTTAGAGTTATATACCGACCTAACGCTGAAGAAAATTGGCTATGAGCTGTTATTTTTTCCCAATGAAATTGTTATTCTTCTTCCAACTAACCAAGTACTCCTTTTAAAATTCTCTGTGAAAACTTAATTTCGTTCCTGGTGTGGACATTATTGGAATTTCCCTCACGCAGCAAATTTGGAAAAATCTGTCCTACAGAAACGGCCCAACACATCGCTTCGTTGTATTTTTTTATTTTGAATTACGACAAGAGTAAATTTTAGGATTATTCCAGGAGCGAGTGTGGTAATGTTTCCTTTCCTTTCTTAGAGAGGCGGAGGAAGGGAAATTCTATATTGCCGCTAACATGAGCGCTTTTGGTGGGAAGGAATTCTCCATTTCGCGTGCGATGTTAATGAACTTTATAAACCCTGTAAAAAAGTCCTTCAGACTAAGGGATTCCGGGTCCCCTTTAGATGAGCCTCGTGATGCCTGCTTTCCACTGACTAGTTCCTCGAGAAAAAAGGTGCAGAGTTTTATTTCTGCTTTTCAAGTGTGCACCGCACAGCTCATTTACAGCCAGCGCGGGGCCGGGGAACCTTAAATGCCCGGCGGCCGGATTTAGAATAAATCAGCAAACGCTTTTCTCGCTTTTATCATCCTTGTCCACGTTCAAATTCGAGATTAATTGGTTGAAAGTCTCAGCTGAGCGGCGCCCAAGGTGCTGCCCTTGAAGGGCTCAACTTGGGGCTTCTATACCATCGCCTTTTTTCTAAGGAAGGGAACTCGACCCCGCTGGAGAGAGTGCAGCGGAGAGTCCGACCCGCAGCCCCTCGCAGGGTTTAGGGGTTCAAACCGCCTGAGCCCCAGAAGAGCCTTCTTCTCTAACCTTTCCGCAGGGCGAACTACCCCAGTCCGCTACACCCCCGGAGTCAGAGCCCGTTTTCGCGTCTGCTGCACCGCTGAGCCTCCCACCCTGCGTCCGCGGGGGACCCCAAGGATGCGCTTGGCGGCCGTCCCCGGGAGCGCGCGGTGGGCTCTTAGAGCATTTGTATTTGGGCTGAGGCAAAGGGGGTTCACTCGCGCCCCCCTCCCCCCCCCGTCGCCTCTAGAGCCGGCAGCGGCGGAGCCGGGGCTGGGGGGGGGGGGGGCGGCAGACAGGGAGGCTTGGCAACTGCGCCCTATTTGGAATCGCAGGGCCAAGGTGGAGAGAGGACTTTGGGGGTCTTTACCCCTGAAATAGGGCTTCTTCAAAATCATTTAGGGAAAACACAAAGAAGTTTGCTGAGACCTCAGACCCATTAAAACAAACAAAATGCAGGTTGTTGCTGGGAGTTGCCGGGTGCCCTGGGGGAGCCTCGGGAAGGCCGGAGGGCGCCCGGGCCGCCAGGAGCACGGGCGGTGGCGGGCGGGCCGACCGCGGAGTGCGCGCAAAGGGGTTTCGGGGAGAGATCCTGATGCGGGCCTGTCGGGAGAGCCGGGACCCCCGCGACCCCCACCAGAGGGTTCCCGCGCCACCAGCTCGGCTGCCGGGATAGTAGGGGCGGAAGGCGGCCGCTGGCGCTGGCTCCGGCGGCCGTTTCCAGTCCTTTCTCCCCAAACTGGCGTCCTTACGAGAGCGACCCAAAGGCCCAGAGGAGGGCCGCAGAGTCCCGCGCCCTCGGGGGCGTTCCCGGCGCCCGGGGCGGCAGAGAGGACGGCTGCTGCCCCCTGGCGTCCGCCCCGAGCCCGCGGCCCTCAGCGCCTCCCGCGGGGCGGGCGCCCGCCCCCTCGCCGCTGCGCGCAGCCCGGGCGGCCCCTCCGGTCCCGGGGCAAGGACGCCGCCTAGGCCCCCGGGAAGGGCCTCCGCGGCTGGCCCGCCCTGGCCGACGCCTCCGTTAGGCCCCAGCCGCAGAGGCCCAGGAGAGTCCCGCGCAGCGGTGGCGGCCCCCTGCCCCCTAGCCGCGCGTCCGCAGCGGGAAAGGAGGCGGCTGGAGGGAGGGGCCCCGCGGGCGGCGGGGTGGGGTGGGGGTGAGGGACCCCAGCCCCGGGGAGTTGAAGTTGAGGGCTCCGTGTTGGGGGAGGGGTGAGCGCCCTCCCCCGCGGCGGGGGGAGGGTGAGCTCCGCGGGGTGCAAGGGAGCCCCAGGGCTGGGGAAGGGGGTGGTGAACAGGCCTTGGGCGCCGGGACGGGGCGGGGCCCCTCTAAGCTCCGCGAAAATGCCCGCGGCGCCGCGGGGACGGGCGCAAGGGAAGTTCCCGCCGGCGCGCAAAGCCAGGGTGGGTTCGGCACCCCGGGCCGCGGCGGCTCGCGGGGGCGGGGAGAGGAGCCGGCACCGTTTCCGGGGAGCCGGAGGTGGGTGCGGGGCTAGGGCGACCGGGGCCCAGCGGTGGGCTTTCGTCCCGCCTGCGGGGGAGCCGACGCTCCGAGAACGGGGTACCAGCCCAGCGGATGCTTTCAACTTTCTTCCCCGTCGCCTGTTCTCTGGGGTCTTTTCTGATGAGGACACTCCTTTGCTCGCCGCCAAGCGCACTCAGACTGAATGAGGCGCGCTGCGTAATTAAGCCGCAGCCCAGACGCGGTGACAAACACCAACTAAAGAAAGAAAACCAAGAGAGAAAACTAAACACACAAAACCATGTTGGGGAGACCGAGAATCGTCAGGCCTCGTTAGATGAATCAGCGCCGCTTCGCTGCAGCTGCCCACCCGGCCATGGGGCCGCGCGGAGCGCTCTCCAGCCGGGCCCTCGGCCCCCCTCGCGGCCGAATCCCACCCACGCCGCGGAAGCAGAGGCTCGGCCGTGGGTGGCCGCGCAGGGCCTGGGGCCGCCCCGGGGCTCCGGTCCCGGTCCCGGGAGCCTCGCGGCGGCCGCTTCGTCTCCAAGGCGCGTGGAGGGTGGGGAGGCACCTCCCTCCGGCAGGTCTCCGGCCCCGGGCCGTTCCGGGCACGGCGCGCAGCCCGAGCCCTCCCTGCGCCCGCCGGCCTCCTCTGTCTCCACCTCCCTGATCTCCAGACCGCGGCCGCCTGTGGCGCCGCCGCGCACTGCAGCCCGGGGCCGGTGGCGGCGCGACTGTGCGTGTGTGCAAAGACGCAGGGCCGCGGTCCGCACGAGGGCGGGGCCTCGGGCGAATGAGTGAGTGCGTGCGAGTGTGTGCGTGGATGCGAGTGCGCGGGGAGCGCGGGGAGCGCGGGGAGGCCGCGGCAGCCGGGGACTCTCTCCACCCCGGCTGCGTACAGTAGCGCGCGGCAGCGGCGGGGGCGCGCGGGCCAATTCCAGGAGCCCGAGGCCGCGAGCCGCGCCCTGGCTGATACCGGAAAGGCCTGTGATTGGCCGGCGGCCGCCCCTATGCAAACGAGCTGAGGGAATGGAATTCCTCGGGCCGGGCTTACAGTAAAAGCACGTTCATTTCCAGGCACTCTCATTCATAGAGCCAGCGGGCGCTAGGCGGGACGGGCGCCCCGCGGCCGGACCCAGCCAGGGCACCACGCTGCCCGGCCCTGTGCCGGCAGGCACCTCTTCCCGGGCCTCCTGGGGACGCCAGAAGAAAGTCAACCTTTGCTGCTTCTCCTTGACCTGCGTTGGAGCTACGATTTTTTTTTCCCTTTCTCTCTTACTTTTGAATGAACTGGTTTCTTGGCTGGATGTTTCAACTTCTTTCCTGCCTATGAACTTTTCCGCGGTTGTTTCCTTTGACAACTGCAAGAGAAAGCGTGCTGTGCTTCGAGGAGAGCCGTGAAGTTGCGTGTGCGTGGGAGTGTGCGTGGGAGTGTGACTGCGTGTGTAATTCGAACCACCGCGTCGGTTTCGATCTGCGCTGCGGAGCCTCGTCTCAGGGCCCGCTCCACCTGCTGCGGTTACGCGGTGATCGTAGGTATAGGCGCGTCCCGGCATTTAACCAGCCGGCGCTGGGGCGACGTTGGAGGAAGATCGTCTCGCTGCTGCCCAAGTCAGGCTGACTCACCGAGTCGATGTAGACAGTGGCTGGCTTCGGGAAGAGTGCGTGTCTGCGTGCGTGTGACTCGGCTCTGCTCCACTCCCACCAACCGCAGGACCAGCCACAAACTTAACCAACATCCCCAAACTCAAGTTTTCGGATGTGGAGAGCTGTACACTGACTGTCATCGACTTGGACTTTTTTTTTTTTTTTTTTTAAGATCAGGTTTTCTTTGAAAAGCTGAATTTTCTGAACCGAGCATTTTGCCAGAAATTATTAAGAGAACATGACAAGTATTTCTAGCCCAGCCGTTCTTCAACTACTGAAGCTTATTTTCAAGGCTACTTAAAAAAAAAAATCAGCAGCGAACATTAATGGATTTCTGTTGTGTTTAAATTCTCTACAGATTGAATTGTAAATATTTTATGAAGTAGAGCATATGTATATATTTATATATACGTGCACATACATTAGTAGCATGACCTTTGGAAGTCGCAGCTCTTGCTTTTGAGGACCGAAGCCAGTTTTGCATGTGAAAGTGGCTCTGTATATGGAAGACACTCGTGTATTTTGTGTTGTATTGGGACTTTAGACAAAACTCACCCGCAAACAAACAAACCCGGACAGGCGATTAACTACTGGAACTTCCAAATTATGTATTTGCTGGTCCTTTCGCTCTCCGTATAAATGTTTTAGAAAGCGTATGGGAATTTCGCCTCCGGGAACTTTGTTTAACAGCCAGAGACTGAAGTTAAACTCTTAAAGCAAGACTCGGAAGATAAGTCTCCCTTGGCATTTGACTTTGGATTCTAGTCGCCCCATTTTTAAAGCACTAAGCGGTCGGTTGCTAGGAACCCGGCGGGGTCTGAGGCTGCCGGGCAGAATAGAACTTTCCCCCTCCAGGACTGTTAGCAACTTAGTCTTCCGCCTCCCCCAGCCCCCCTCCCCCCGCAGCAATAAAGGCCCCTGAACTTGTATGTTGGTCTCCCTGGAGCTGCTCGCCGAAGATCCGCGCCCTTGTCGCCGTCTGATAGGAGCTGTTTGCAGGGTCCTAACTCAATCGGCTTGTTGTGATGCGTATCCCCGTAGATGCCAGCACGAGCCGCCGCTTCACGCCGCCTTCCACCGCGCTGAGCCCGGGCAAGATGAGCGAGGCGCTGCCGCTGGGCGCCCCGGACGCCGGCGCTGCCCTGGCCGGCAAGCTGAGGAGCGGCGACCGCAGCATGGTGGAGGTGCTGGCCGACCACCCCGGCGAGCTGGTGCGCACCGACAGCCCCAACTTCCTCTGCTCCGTGTTGCCCACGCACTGGCGCTGCAACAAGACCCTGCCCATCGCTTTCAAGGTACTCGGCCCGGGCCGGGAGCGGGTGGCGGGAGCACAGGCGGAGGCCGGCGGAGGCCGGGGGCGATCCCGGAGGGCAGCGGCCAGGCGGGCGGGGCCGGCTTCTAGAAAGGGGCCGGCGCTGCCCCCCGCGGCCCCTGGTCCATCCTCCTGATCCCGGGACACGAGGGATGCTGGGTTGCCCTGGCGATCCTCGGTGTGTGTGTTGGGGGGGGGGGGGACCCGCAGAGGCTGCCTCCGGGGTGCACTGAAAAAGATCTGGATGCCCCCAAAGACGTCCACTGAGGGCCTGTCGGGACCTCCCTGACAGGTCCTTAGCTTTGCTACAAAGTAGAAATGCAGAAAAAGTTATAACCCAGCCTGGCAAGCCGGTCTGCTCCCATGCTTCTCCCCCGCCCCCCCGCCCCCCCCGCCTACCGGCCCCCTCAGCGCTGGCTTGACACCCAAGCCATTCTGCCTCGCTCCGATGGAGGCATCAGGAAATAAAGATACTTTTATACTTTAGGGTCAGGAAAATAAACTGACAAGGAAAACTGTCAGGGCTTCCTACCCCCACCCCCTCTTTAACAGTCCCATCGAAATTAGCATGTCCAAAGTCCACGGAGGGCGTAGTTAAGTTTGCAAAAGTTTTCTGGAGAGTTTTTGCAGCCTGCCACAAGCCGCAAGGAGCGAATCCTGTTTCTTTTCCTGGAACCCTCCTGAACCTTATCTCCGGCTCACCTAGATTAAGCCCAGGGCCTCGAAAGGTGGCAAGACTGTCTTCACTGCGAGCCAGCCGGGGTCTAATCCGCTTGCATTTCCGTCTGAGGAGGGGGTGGCGGGGACCCCAAAACTTCGGCTGAACAGCTCGAGAGGTCTTCGCTCACTTCCACCCCTGATCTAGCCCTAGCTTTGAGCGGCCTTTAGAAAACCTTGCCCTTGAACGGGGATATATCAACAACACCCGGCGTTTTTAAACACCACTGCCTCTCCCCGGACCCAACCCCAGCCCTGACCGCAAGCAGTAGAAATTTAATTCTGGCGGTGGGGATTCTATTCTTCTGTCTTGAGTGGGTTTAAGAAGGGGCAACAATTCAGTACAATCCGTAGTCATTTCCTGTTCATTTTGAGGGCTAAGAAAGGCAGGTGGGGGGGGGGGTTGGGGGGGGTTAAGATCAGATTGTGCCCTTTCAGGGGAGATTAATTTAATATAAGCTTCTTTATAGTTCCAGGCCTCTACTGGATGTTGATCTAGTTTTTTATACAGTACTGTCAGAGTTCTTTTTTTTTAAGCTTTATACACCTTCTAAACTTAACATTATGATTTCTAAGACAAAACAAAATGTGTAATTGGCTCTGTCTATAGAATTGCCTGTTTTCTGAGAGCACAGGTTTTTGAGGGGGAGGGAGTGAGGATGAGGTTGAACAGCCACTGGACTGCTTCCCTGCCGTCCTGCATCTCTGTAGATTTGCGTTGGGAGCCTATTTCAATTTTAAATCATTCTAATCTCTTTACATAAACAGGCTCCTCTAGCTGGAGAACCGGACAGAGTCCCCTCTGTGACTGGGGACTTGACAAGGCTCGGCCCTGGGGCCACTTTGCAGATAAGAGCTGAGGGAGGAGACAGGCTGATAATCAGCCGAAGGGTCATTTAAACCTGGTACCCCTGACCTACCAAGGGGGCTCTGTGCCTTCCTTTGAGGGGAAATCCGAATCTCTGCTGGATGTCGCCTCCTCCGCCAGGGAACCAACGCCCAAATATATCAAAACACTAAGTGATTAATAATCATCAGGAGGTGAAGTGAAACAGTTTCTCGAGCCACCCCAAGAAAAGTATTTTTTCTCCCTCAAAGACAGAAAAGAAAATCCTATAACTTGCTTTGATGAGCCACCAGGGAATTCCTTTTAGCCGAAATCTTAGTAACCAAAGAGATTTCTTTTTCAAAATGACTTTAGACGACTCACTTTTTTTTTTGTTTCAATCTAATTTGGTTTATTGAGTGATCGTCTGTAGGCTCCTAAATGACCCATGTATAGTTCTCTTGAAAAAAAAGTTCAAGTGGGTCTTGAGGACAAATAGGGGAAAGGGAAGATCGGCCGAGAAATGTAGCCGCTTGAGTAATATCTGTCACCACTGCGTCCCCATCAAGGGAGGCCTCTTCCTGGAGGAAGATTGCTCGCTGCACAACTCGAGGGGCAGACAGAAATGAACCCAAAGGTTAGGGGGAAAAGCAAGCCTTCTAAATGTGACTGTGTCTGGATTGACCCCCTGTGTACCCCTGGCCCCACTTTCTTGCCACCTCCCTCCATCCCAGAAGGTTTCTGTAGATATTATTACGTTAAAATGTGGATTTTAAATAAGCCCCAGACAATCTCTTTAAGAAGCTAATCAGTGAAGAATGATTATTTTCCCTGTAATGTGGAGAAGATGTGAACCATTGATAAAGTCTGATGATATCGATGGAAAGAGCATTTAAGTGATTCTTTACCAGTCTTCTGAAATCCCCAAGTGCAAATCCCCTGCTTTAATTTTTGAAACGAAAAGGGGACTTCAGATTATGAAGTTTCCTTAAAATAAACTCTGCCTATTTGCTTATCCTGGACCCCAAAATGTAACCTCCTTTCCCTCATTTTCCCCATGGAATGTCTTTATTTTTTAGCATAGAAAAGATACATATTTAACAACTGTGAAAATCTTAAATTTGCTACGTGTTACCCACTACTTACAGAAGTAGCCTCAAAAGCTATTTAGATGACTTGGGATTTTTTTTTTTTTTTTAATACTGCAATAGTGCAGTTTGTTTATTAGGCCCTGGTTCACCAGGGTCCAAAGGCATAAACATGCCTTCAACAAGTTCAGAGGCTTTGGATGCTAATAAGTCATCTTCTTTCTGTAAGACAGAAAGAAGTAATGTTTCTATCGGCAAGACTTCATTCAGTCCCTGGGTATGCTTTAAATGTCATCTTGGCTGAGTTCTGGGTTCCACTCCACAGCTTTCTTTGAAACTCTGGAAAATTAAGGGATTTGAAATAAATGAATTGTAACTGTAATTTCAACCTAATTAGAGTTGTTTAAAATGCCAGTTCGAATGTGTGAGCAGGCCAGCCAGGAGCGGTGGGGAGATCCAGGCAGTACATAGGAGGGCTGATATTTTGCCCAACTTCCTGATACTTTAAAAACAGAGAAGTAAAACAAAATATGAGATATCCCTTGGCCAGCAAGTCCCTTCTTGTCTGTTTGGTCTGTGTTAAATGTAAATATTTGTGTTTCCTTACCTATTGTTTATAGCTTTTCATTCCAGTTCCTTCTTTTTTTCTGTTTGAAGTTAGATTTTTTTTTTTTTAACTCTCTTCTTACTGCCTATCAGTGACACAATCGGTATAAAATTAGCAGAGATGTTAGTTTTAATTTTTAAATTTTTTTTATCTAGGCTAAGTAGGCTTGTTAACAATTAGATGTTATACATTATTAGTGTAATTTCCTCGGACTTACTATTCTCCCCTGCCCTCCTGCCAAAAAAAAATGTCCCTCTGAGATTAATAAAAGACCAAAGAAATGATCTTCGAGCACCCAAATGTCTTTCTTTGACTTTTGTTGTATTTTTTTTAGAAAGGGAAGGGGAGGAATTAAACTCCTAATTTTGTTGGTCGTTAAATTCCAACATCAACAACCTTTTCATATTTAGCCACCATGATCATTTTACTCTATATTTGCTTCTACTTGATGAAGGTCTCACAAGTTTGCCAAATTACTGACAAAGATAGTTTTGGAAAGATGATAGAGGCCCAGGCACGGAGCACCACAAGAGGAGTCGGGGGAGGGAGGTGATTTAGAATTGGTTTTGGAAGATTTGCAACGAGATTTACTTACGCTCCCCTCTTTACAGACTCTGCCCCAAGAATGAGTTATTCACTGTGAAAACTTTGCAGTTAAGCATACAGTCCTTGTATACTTACTGAAGGTTGGATTAAAATAGAGAAGCCGGTCGTCACAGGGAGATGGGGATGAGGAAGTAAAAATATGTGTTCAAGGAGAGCATTTCAACACTGTGAGCTAATTTTACAGAGGGAAGTGAAAATAGTGAGAAAAAAAGTGGAAAAATTTTTAAGAGACTGAAAAAAGCAGAATAAAGCAAGCACATTTTTGTGGGGGTCAAAAAAGTGATAAAAAAATAAGTAGATAACCGATCGGGGAGATTTATTTCAATGATGTTTTTGAAACAAAAGAGAATTGTCATATTACTGCTCTTAATTAAAAGGCAACAAACACTTATAATGGGAACTAAATATCTAATTAGAGGGTGCTTGGGGAATAAATAGCTGTGTTTTTAAATCTCCTTCGTAGAAAACATGCCCAGCGTTGGGATGGAAAGGATTAGAAAGAAAGATAAAAGGTTCAGTGCCTCTGCTCTAAGACAGATGAAGAATTTGCTCACCTACTGCTGTGCGGGCTGATTCTCCTGGTCCCATAGTCGCTTGTGCTGAAATGGCTCGCCCTCCCTGTCAAACTCCCCAGAATCCAAGAGCTGCAGCATCACAAGGCATAAAAGCAATAGATGGTCACCTGGATGACATGGGGGTACTAGCCAAGCAGGCCACGAAGATGGGCGTTTTGAGAAACAACGGCTTTGCTAACGTCCAAGGGAGCCCATGGCTGCCTTTTTCACAGACAGAGAAAGAGGGTTGGAAATATAGGTATTGCCCCCCAAATTGGGTAAAAATGAAGAGGGAGAAAACACAGGGAAGAAAGAATCCCTGGAAAATTCCTTGCTGTTCCAGCTCAAACACAGTGTGCAGAAAATGGCTGTGTAATTGAAATGATTGACGCAAAATTCACTGCCGACTGAGAAAGTATCATGAGGAATATCAGAAATGAAAGAACTTGGGATATTTTCATTGGAAGTCCTATGACCGCTTTAAAAAATAGAAATGATGGAAATATAGCTGATTATAATTGTCTAACCCCAGGAGTTTCTCGAAGGGTCAAGTGATGACCAAGAAATGGGATACTACAGCACAAAGCATCTTTACACCCTGCTCGTCAGAGCATTTTACCTTGGAAATTACTGTTTTTTTTTTTTTTTAATTACCTGAGTATCAAAACTATGTATCCACCAGTCATGTTCAGTAGCCCTGTTAGGAAATCCATTCCTGTGCGATTACATTACAAGAGCAGAATTCTTCTTTGAGGTCAGATGGGTTTGGGGAAAACCTCAGTCATCTATCGGGACATAGTTGACACATTTGGGGACCCACAGATATAAAAATGCCACCCAGTTCCACTCCTGAATTCAGAGCAGCACATAAAAGGGAGTGCCCCTCTTTTCTGAGGTCTGTTGATTTTGGAATTAGTAATAAACAAAGGATACATTTCTGATTTTTTTTTTCCTTTGCCTGCCAGATTTCCCTGCTCCTGACAATCAGAATAAGAGAAGCGAGTAGGGAGTCTCAAAGATGAACTGCAGAGGGACAGTGTCACTGAAGAATGGTCAATAATCTGGTTGTCATGATCGAATTGAATTTTGGCAGAAATAAGTTTAAACACCTAAAAGCAAAGTTGGCTAGCTAGGCCCATCAGTGGAGGTCTGGACAAGCGAAAGATGAGCTAGGTTATATACTTACAAAAACAAGACATTGCGTTTCTCAGCTCTGCACGATTAAGATGATTGCGTTCGTGAGAAGGCACAGGTTTTCAGAGCCCTGGCTGCCTTCAGCCTCATTCTAACCGCACCATGTGACCTTATGGAGCTTTATTAGGTGACTGTTTTAGGACATGAAAATTTATATTTAGTTGTGCATAATGGAACTCAAAGAAATCCTTCCCATGAATAACTTTTCTGTCGTTTTGCTATTCCTTTGCAAACTTATAAAGGATCACTTAACAGACGTTTAATTTTAGAGCAATTACTACACCCGTGACACCAACGTTTGTAACGTTTCTGATGTCTGCGTTTGTCCCTTGACTGGTGTGTAGGTGGTGGCTCTGGGGGATGTCCCAGATGGTACTCTGGTCACGGTGATGGCAGGCAATGATGAAAACTACTCAGCCGAACTGAGAAATGCCACAGCAGCCATGAAAAACCAAGTTGCAAGATTCAATGACCTCAGGTTTGTCGGTCGGAGCGGACGAGGTATGTATCTGTCAAAACTGAACTTGAAACACAAGTATTAAATGGCAACAAACTGAAATTTCAAAACCTTCTAGAAGTTTCTGTGATGGAAGTGCTCCCTAGAAACCCAGTCACCCTTGTTCTGATTGCTACATCAAGCTTTTAAAAAGTATTTATTTACAATTTAATATGTTTTAAAAAATCTGCCTCCACATTGTTGCCTTCTACAATTGAGCTGGTTTGAAACTGATTCAGAACGTGCAACATGTGAATTGTGAATTTCAAGGAAACCCCTCAGGTCTTCACTAAAATTTAAAAATATAAACCTCACCATCATGGAAACTGAGGTCATTACAACTGGTGTTGTCTACTTTGTAATTATCAAAAATCTGTAGAATAGAAGCCTTTAACTCAATCTGTGAGCTATCTGTGACAAGGTACCAAGTTTCAGATGAGCACTTCTGATCACTTTAAGGGATATACAGTATATGGTTGTTGAAATGTGGTTTCAAATTTGCCATTTTATGGCAAAATATGAAGACATGGTGTTAGTACCATTCTGGTTGGGTCAATTGGATGGCATTTATCACCCTTCTGTTATATGTAATTTGGACACCTTATTATTTAAGGAAGGGGTCAGACCTAGTTAACATTTTAGTGCTAATGTGTTAAAGACTGGATTACCCAAAGGAACTATTGCATCAGGGCAGTTCTGTGTGTTTTATTTTTCTGTGCCCATTACTGAAGTATTAGAGCAGAAAGAGGAATTTTGGCCCGTAAACCCCTCTGGTTTGCAATTATTTTCAAATATTGTGTTTTCTCTGTATTGTGAGAATTGAAGTCATATGTTATAAATAGCAATAAGTACTAGAAGTTTCATTGAAGAGAAAGGAGAGTTTGCTTTGAAAATCCCATTTTCATGATACAGTAATGAATAAGCTAACAAATAAAAGTTATTTTCAGTATAATAAAAAAGACACATACATAACCTGAACAATAGTAGATGACTCTTGTATTTAAAAAAACGAAAGTATAACCAATGGACATTTAAACATAAGAGTAATCATTACTCTTTATAAAGGCATTCCAAAATATAAGAAAATCTATGTTTGACTAGTCAGAGAGCAGAAGGGGTAAAGGCATGTTGCTTTTTGGGGCCATCATGTTTGCTATCTTCACTGTCTGGAGTATTTTTAAAATAGCATCCTAGGTTGAGAAAAAAAAAAAAAAGGCATAACGTGATAGAATATATATGTTCATAATACCAACTATGTTAATAATAGGGTAATGCAAAGAAAATTATATCCACTTACTGAAAGCATGAGAGATGCTGTAACGTATAAAAGCATAAAGTCATTAAATGGGTTCACTTGTTATATTAAAAGTCCCCGCCTTTCAGTAAATGGAATTCACATTATGATTCAGAGATGTGTATTTAGAAAACATCTTGATGGCATCAGATGAGTGGCTGGCGGAGTAGGTGAGAAGCCAATAAAACACAAAGGCCCTATCGCTTGCCTGGTGCCTGCCCACCAGCCTAGCTCACCCTCTTAATTCAGTTCTTGCGGGTACCTACTATTAGGAACGGTGGCTGAGTCTCACTGGATTGCATTTGCAGAGAAAGCAATGTTATCGCAGTGTGCATCTATGTGGGTCTGTGTGCTCCGTTTGGGTTACAAAAGTGTGGGAAACTTGCATGGACCATGCCAGTGACATTTCCCCACAAGCCATGCTGCAGTGGCTTTGAGGCGGGCGTGCAGTTAGTCGGTGATAATAAAGAATGAGATTTTGAAAGGAGCATGCTTCCTTTTCTGGCATCGAGGGCTAGCCTCTTATCCCTCATTGGCCATTTCTGTTTTGAGTGGGTGACTAATAGGTGCTTGTGTTTACTTGGGGAACAGCGAACTGTTTCCCCAAGGTGTGGATTGTTTGCGCTCGGCTGCCTGAGTCGTGCCAGAAGGTCCTAGAGTTTGCATAAAACCCAAAGAGTAAAATAGCTGGAACCAAGGCCAGGCTGTCTTTTGATAACCTGGAACAAGAAAATCGATTAAAATGCCATAAAGGGACAATATCTGTTTGGAATGGGCTCCGCTTCCTAGGCAAGATAATAAGCAATCCAAAATACAGGAGCCCTCATTGCACATTTGACCCAATTACGCTTACCCTGTAGATTGTGGTCTTGAGTTCTTTGTTTGCCTGTGTGTTTTTTTGTTTTTTGGGTTTTTTTGGTCTGTGCTACAAAACAAAACGGGCTGTCAAAAGGCCCCATTTGACTTTGTGTCATTATCTCTCTCCATAGTTGTAAAATACAACTTGATTTTACTCTCCAGTGTAAGTGTCAACATCAAAGCCTGCCAGATCTTCTTTTTTTTTTTTTTTTTGCAATTTGCTTCCCATTACAAAGAGAGCAGATGATTCTCACTAATTTTGACAATTAGTCTTAATCTGCCTCACTGAATCTTGTCCTTTAAAAGTATCATTACATTTTATTAAGCGATCTTCAGATTTTCTGGTTTTGAAAATGTGCCTGAAAACACGTCATTGGCATCAACACACCACAGTGGCCGAGAAGGTCCTGGCTATTGGCTCGTCCAAACATTCCTGTGCCAGGTTCGCGTTCTGTCAAACAGCACAGATCCGATGGACTCTCAAAAAGGTCTTGGTGCTCAGCTCCAAACGAAGGGTAGAAAAAGAAACTCCCTTTTCTTTTACCAGCTGCCGGTCCATGCAGATTGGAAAACCTCACAGAGGTTGGACGTGGAAGGGTTTTCTCTGCTCGACAAAACTGATTTGTCTGGGTTCTGGCTCACAGCCAGGATCACACAACTTACAACCTCAAGTTCAGTGCAACTGGGAAAACCTGCCCTTCCGGCTTTTACGGCCTTGCTGACAACGCTGGCCCCTAAAAAATATTGGTGAAGGCTTCAGTAGCCTGAACTGTCTTTCTTTTCCCCCTTCCCTCCTTTTGCTCCTTGCCAATTTAAATCTCGTTCAGGATATACTTGACCCTTGGGATTTTTCTCCCCTCGATTCAGTGTCTCCATAGAAATGGACTCCTCCTTTACGCTGGAGGAAGAGATAGCAGCTTTCAGGGGAGGAGAGGTTATGCAGAACACACAGGTTGTTGTTCAGAACCTTTCATTTAACCACAAGTTCTGAGACTGTCCCTCACCCCCAGAAAGTTGAAGTTCAGGGTCAAAAGGGGTTCTCGTTGGCGAGGTGAATTAACGGTAGCTTACCTTAATTTACGTCAACAGTCGAGGCAGGTATCACTGACATTTTCAGCTACAAGAAAGCCTATTGTGGCTACAGCTGAGAGACATTTAAGAAACTTTAGCACTGAGATCTGTGAATACTTCTGTCCCTGTTGGAGTATATAATCAGTTGGAAAGGAATCGATCAATCAGGAGATACGGCTTAGTTAATTCATTTAAAACCAAAGAGGAAATCTACCAGACCGTATCATCAACCACATCAGAAATGGGGAGAAGAGAATCCAGTGTACATTTCCTTCTAATTTCCAAGAATGATTTTTAATCTTTTGGGAACATCGTAGATAATTTTGAAAATCCCTCGGAAGCCTTCTCCCAAGGGAAGAAAATATGCGTATGTGCTTATAAACAGAGTTTCATGTATAGTTTCCAGTATAGTTTTCAAACTTCCAGTTAGCTGAAGCTCATTTGCAGTCACCTTCTGGGGATCTATAGACTGCCCCCACCCAAGCCAAGGATCTGTGAATTTGAAACTTGCCTTGGAGGGGCAGCCTAGCATGGGGCTGCACATAATAGATAACTGGAATATAAATAAATGAACAGACGATATAGACCTTCTTCTTGTGCCCTGAGTGTTTTGGTAACACCTGATTTTATTATAGCCAGGACCTGGTTTGTTGATTAGGAAAATAGATCCCATTCAAACTGCTGGCCCAAACCTTTTGAAGACCATCAGGTATGCACACACGTCCCCTGAAAGGTAAAGGGGCCCATATTGTCAGAGCCTCTTCTCTACAGAATGCCTGGACTTTCCCCACCCCACCCCCTATACCCCAGCCCTGCAGAACTGCAGTGTGAATTCCACGTTCAGCCCCCATAAGGCCCTGAGCTCTCTCGGCTATTAGAATGGGCTTTAATTTCTTGGAGGAATTTATGTTTACGTTGACCTCCCTGGCAACTTAAATCTCCACTTTCAAAATAGTATACCCCTTCCCAATGCTTTTATAAAATGAAATTCCTTCATTATGTTCCTGCTGTGGATGTCTTCCCAGACATAGTATTTACCCTGTCACTATCTGAGTTATTGCATAGTTGTATAATGTTTGTTACTTAAGGCATTTTCATTCTTAAGTTATTTTACATTATTTGGAGAACAGGATGAGGAGGTTGTGTTCAGATGAGTGAAAGACTGTGGTCGAGATGAAAGAAGTAAGGCACCTTTTAGAGAGGATAAACTGTCCTGAGATTCTGAACGAAAAGTATCTTCATGGAGAAAGACGTGGTCTGAATGACTCACAGTATTATCATAGGATCCAAGTCATTCTCCCTTCCATCACAGAGTCCTCTAAGATGGGGCGGAAAAATTTGGTTGTTCAGTGGGTAACATTCAAGATAATAAGCTGGTAATCAGATCTCCTGGAGAAAATACAAAAAAAATAAATAAATAAAGACTTGAGCTGTATCCAGATCAACTCTCCCATTCTTCCCCTTTTTTCTCAGTTGCTATTGATTTACAATTTAAAATTTTATATGTATATATTTATATCATATTCATAGTTAGTATATATATATTGAATATGTGTGTGAGTGTATATATATATACACATACACTGAAATCTGCTCTCAGACTTCACTGTGGACAAATATGGATAAAAAATAAAAAAGACTTAGCTTCTGATACATCAAGCCCTGGGCAGCCCTAGCAAATAATTCTTTTAGATGGCACATCGAAAACTTGTGTCCATGATCTGATGTAGACTCCTTCTTTGTTTTTTTAAAAAATTTTTAAGTGTATTTCTTTATTTTGAG